TGTCTCTGAGATTTCAGGCATAGGTTGAGGGGGTACTTGGGCATTATCCCCTAAAAAATCGAACAATTAAGTTAATTTAAAAAATATCTCAACAAATCAATTAATTTGAAATGAATATATATATAAGCCTCTTTTTCTTGAGGGCTGATACCTTAAATCGCAAAGTTGAAGAGTAAATCAAGTTTTATCCCTATAATAATAAAAATTAATAGCCACATGGATAAAAAATGTTACCATGGAAAATGATCAAAATTAAAAGAGAAGTATTACCTAACAAGCTAAATCATTAGAAGTGTGAGAAATTACAAATTTAAATTATCGCTTACAAATTTAAAAACACACCTCAAAAATTATGTGGTGATCAGGGGTGGAGCCACCCTTGATCAAGGAGTGTCAAGCGACACCCTCTTGTGGGAAAATTATATTGAATATCGAGGTCAAAAGTTAGTTTTTCTTAATATTATATATAACAAAAGTGAAATGTTTAATTTAGTGGTTAAGGGATTTCAAAAGTTCTTTAAGTTTGTGTGTTCATGCCCTGCTGATTTCCTCATCATTTTTTTATTTTCTTATTACGATCATTGACACCTAGCCCTTCATAAAAAATTTGCGTCCGTCTTTACGTAAAATAAAATGAATAAAACAATAAAATCGATCTATTAAGAATTACAAATCTACTATTTTATGAATTTCAATTTCTGCAAATTTCGTTCTATGAAGTTGTTGGAGTACAAACTTTAAATTTAACAAGTAATAATTTTTTTCTTTTTTTATACTAAGTTTAGCATATTCAAGTCATTAATAGCAATAATATGCTTTCCTCTGTTGAATAAAATTATGAGTTATATTTTCTTTCCCTATGAATTTTATTTTAAATCATTGAGGTTAAGGTTCTTTGCATAAGGTTAACTTGAAGAAAAAAATAACAGAGAGAGAAACAATAGAAAAAATGACTAAAAGATTTAATTTCTCAAGACATGAATTCTGTTAATTAAATCTAAGTTATTTGTATAAGAAAATTGACTGAGAACAAACTTGATAAGTTTAAAATACTTAAAGGACTAAAATTTAAAAAATATATAGTTAAAGGATTAAAATTGATAAATGTAAGTTAAGGGACAAAATTTGATAATTTTTTTGAATAGTTAAAGGACTTAATCTGATAAGTGTATAACTAAAACACCATTTTAGACTACTCCTATAATTAAAAATCTATTTATGACATTTTCTATAATTTATTAGGTACTCTTTTAATCTTTAATTTGTAAAGCGACTATTATTTTGGAACAATTTATCATGCCAAATAGTGCTAGGGGTTCAAATTTATCATTTTAACACTTGACACTATCTTAATTATATAATGACAAATAAAATAGTGTTAGATGTTCAAATTTATCATTTTAATATTTTTTTCCTTCTTCTCAAGCACCTTAAGGAAGGTGAAAACACTTTTTCTTCATTTCATCTTTTAGGGGAATATTAATATCACTTTAAACAAGATCAAGTGTTTAATAAATCGTCAGTATAGTCAAAATATGTAACTGACTTTTCGAAACAAGTTTAGAAGAAAATCTATGTCTTCTCTCAA